CGTCTGCTAAATGTTCAATTTGCAGACCAAGAGAAAGTTTTGTCTTTCCAAGATCTTTCATCTCAAATTCTTTCTTAAGATATTCAATTGCCTTTTAGAGCTCTTCTGAAGTTCCAACAAGATTTATGTCATCAACATAAACATCAAGTATAACAAATTCTGAAGCCACATTCTTTATAAAAATACATGGACAAATAACATTATTTATGTAACCCTCTTTCATCAAATATTCACTGAGGCGATTATACCACATGTGCCCAGATTGCTTTAAACCGTATAAAGATCTTTGTAATCTGATTGAGTACATTTTTCGAGATTTTGAATATACTTCACACATTTTAAATCCTTCAGGGATTTTCATGTAAATTTCATTATCAAGTGACCCGTACAGATAAGCTGTAACCACATCCATTAGATGTATTTCAAGCCTTTCACGTAAGGCTAAACTGATGAGATATCGAAATGTTATGGCATCCATAACTGGTGAATATGTTTCTTCATAATCGACTCTAGGTCGTTGTGAGAATCCTTGTGCAACAAGGCGAGTCTTGTATCTTTCAACTTTATTTTTATCATTCCTTTTTCGCACAAAAACTCATTTATGACCAACTGGCTTTATACCAGCAGGTGTTTGGACTACTGGTCTAAAGACCTCTCTTTTAGCAAGTGACCTCAATTCCGATTGAATTGACTCTTGCCATTTTGTCCAATCAGTTCTTTGTCGACATTCTTCGACAGATTGGGGTTCAAGATTTTCACTATCTTGCATAATGTTAAGTGCAACATTATATGCGAAAATATTATCCACCACTATTTCAGATCGATTTAAATTAATTCCATCACCAGTAGAACTTATTAAAAGTTCCTCACTCACTTGAGTCTCGAGTTCATTGATTTCTTCAGGAATCTCATAATTAATCAGATCTTGGGTCTCTTCAGGAGATCCCTTCATAATATCATTTTGATTATTTGTCGATTTTCTTTTTCTAGGATTTCGATCCTTAGAACCCAAAGGTCTACCACGCTTCAGGCGTGCTTTAGGTTCACTAGCTCTCGTGCTAGTAGATGGTCCTGCTGGGATATCAATTCGAATAGGTACATTCTCTGCAGGGATATGCGACTTAGTTATCCTTTTCAAATCAGTAAATGCGTCT